CCCGAATATGCCATTTCCTTAGTATTGGACGTAGTTTTTGAGTCAGTTCGAAGGAAATTAGGCATATCCACTTATGCCTCTTCCTTACTGTTCTTTCCTAGTCCCCATTCCGCCAACGGGTTTTCACGGCCCGTATGTTTCTTTTTATTACTTCGCATGGGCATTCATTGCCGAGACATAATCTAGTCAATTTTTCCAATTCTTTAAACCAGAATTCCACATCCGTTAAACGTAGGCTTTTGATGATTATACTCCTCATTATTCCTATCTTTTACCTGTAGGTTTGATGGGATTGGAATTTAAGTATTATTCCAGGTTAAGACTTCATTCTTAACAATTTCTTCTTGAGCATCCCATTAGAGCGAATCATTTTAACATCCAGGAAAGTTAATCGCTCACCTTCCTCTACTTCCATCGTGAATTTAATTTTGTTATTAATCTAGTTGATAAACTTCAAAAAATCTTCCATGTGACAAAAGCACGACCGATGCTGGTTGTAGTGGTGACATCTTAAACTTCTCTTTTAATTTGTTCATGCGCACGTTTGCCAAATAAGGTGAAAGTGGCGATCCCATGAGAAGTTCAAATATTTGTCCTTATAATCAAGCTGATTAGTCGTGTAACGACTCCTGATAGTTTTGGATTCCAGGATATCCCCTTCTAGGTCCAGGATTTCCAACAGGCCCTTGAGCTCATTTTATTCAGAGCTATTTGTATAAATGGATTCCTCATTAAAACTTACTAATAAGTCTGTTTATTCCAGTACAATGTATTCGTTTTTAGTGAAAATTTATATAAATTCGCTACTGTATTTGATAACCTAGCATTTAATTTCTTGAGTTTCAAATACACGAACTTTGCCAATTTGTGTGTTGCTTTATACTTGATGTTGACTATCGGCCTTAGGAATTCGCCTTCTTTTTGTATATTTGGGAATCCGTATGCTGTTGGTGGTCGTGCATCCTTTTTTACGATTTTGTTCATGCATCAATCTTCCCTATCCTATACATATTTTTCAACATGTAACCTTCGATTCCGTTGATTTTCATATTTGTGTTATTCTTTAGTTTACGGCATGTAGCCCTGTATCGTAGAATATAGTCCATCTCTTCGGTATAGTTTTTTTCGTCAATTATCACTGTTGCCTCCCCTTTATCCTGCTGAAGGACATGTTCATTTGTTTCAAGGGTCTTGCCTATCCTGGCAAAATTGTTCCTGTGTGCTGGTTTTAATGTATCAAGATCTTTGGAATTATTCCCCTCTCCATTTCCAGTTTTGTCTTCTCAGCGACTCTAGGACATATTGATAGCCTCCAATAGGATGTCTGCAGGAACGCTTCTGTCATTTTTAAGTGAAAAATTAGGTATATTTTCCAGGATCGTGATGGTTTCGGGATTAAGAGGAAATGGTGATAAATTCACTACTTTCTTCCGATCGTCATCGAAAACAACTTCAACTGGGGGCACTGACTTATAATACCTAACTTACAAAATTTATTGTCTTGTCGATTTGTTAACAAGTCTGAAATCCTAAGATATTTCTACAGCCAGGATCCTGGCCAGAGCTTTAACTTAATATATATAAACTTAAATAGCTTAGTCCTCTCCTTATCATAAGTTTCACTTAGCTTCTGAAGAATTCCAGTGGACAGTCGCTTAAGGTCACAGAAGTAGGGAAAAGGATAGCCACAACCGTCACCGTAATTTGGCATTATGGCCCATATATTCTAGAAATCCGCTTGATATCCGCAGGCGGCCAGGGATAGGCGCCCACAGTTTGCTCAGGTAACATGGGTTTAATCAAGGAGACGACTCGTGAAGGCAATGCCTAATATTTGCAAGCATGGGAAGAAGAGCCTAGGCGAACTGCTCGGTGTGGCGGCAGTGTACGTGAAGCTAAGGCCTTTAGAAATAGCGTCTGGAGTAAAACGACTACTGGGACTTAATTTTCCCACATTATTATAAGTGGTCCTTACGCTTTCATTGAAATACGCACAGCTTTGCCCCTCCAAAAAGGTGAACTGCAGTTTCGACTTCGACTAGGCATTGTCAGCACCCACACCGAGACTCTGACTGTGAAAGTGCAAGATATAACCTAGACACGTTAACCACTATGCCACAGAGTGCCATTGAGTCAATAAGGAGATGCGAATTTAGAGGTCAGACATTATCCCATATAAAATTTTATGATGGGACTGTTGATGAAGCATAGATGTTTTGCCATAGCAATCGACTAGGTAACTTATTTCATAAGTAGGCCTTTCGAGACTACCAACAAGTCTGATATAAGAGCTGTATTCGCCACATTTCGTTAAGGTGATGAAGGACGAGTAGGTGAATTTTACCACAATGAATAATAGACCCTACGTTTAACTTTAATTTCACATATCTTTGCTGATGAGACCAAGACGAGGCCGGGACCACAGTTAGCCATAAATGAGAATACCTTTTGGGATGGCAGGTGGACTATTTACATCGCTGTAGGAAAATTTTAATACCAGCATTTCATCACCTTTAACCAAATGCGAATATATCTTATATACTGGTAGTCTCAAAAAAAACCTACTTATGAAAGGAGGAATTAATAAATATTCCCTTAACGGTGATTGCAGAGAAATTCGTAAAAGAAGGCTACTTAGTAGTTCGCCAGCCTGTAAAATGTGAAGTAAGCTCTATGACCGACACACATAAAAGAAACATAATTGAACAAGTGCATAGTATAATTTTGGCATGTTTCCACAAAACCATACTGTCACGGGTCGCCGTTGATCATAGAACAGACGACAATTTCAGAAGTCTTGGTCTCTCCCATATCACATTTATAGTTGAATCTATAGTAGGAATGCATTTTGCCACTTAATCGACCACCTTACTTACATGTGTAGATTGCATAAGGAGATAAAGGACCGATAGATGAATTTTCTCACAATTATATTTCTTACAAGATATTGCCGGATGTCATTTTTGAGGCTAAAATACAAATCATGTGTGAAAACACATAAAGGATTAGGATTTGTATAATATAGACACACAGTTGCAGCTTACTTGTAGGCTGTGCGACTTAAAGTCAGTGATTTGCAACAGGAAAGTCAGATGTAATTATGTGGTTTATAAAATACTGTATTTAACATCGAGTTAGAGCATTTAAAAGATCTCCAACTAGATAGTAGACCGCAAGGTTCAAAAAAGCCCTAATAAAGCCATGAACATATTTATGTATAAAGCAAAGGTAGGAGTTGGTTCAACATTTTATTTTTCAAAATGTACAGTATCGGGGGCGGAACTAAGGGCTAGCTTTCGGACGGAGATTGATAGATAGAAATCTCCAGGCCGGTTCACTTCATCCCGATTGCGGCTTCCACACTGGCAGCTGCCGCTAGCACGGCTTGAAAGGCTGCATCCGTGCTCAGTGATTCACCTGTTCGTTCCTCTCTTCCCGGGGATCGTGTGATGCTGCCAGAGGCAGATCGCGAACGAGATCGTGAGCGGGACCTCGACCTGGAGCTACGCCGAACTCTAGGCCGTACTGGAGTTGTGATACCTTCATAATGACGGTGATGCCGGGAGGCGCGTGCTAGGGCAACGGAATGACGCATCGCTTCTCGGCGTTCACGATCACGTTCCCGGTAGCGTTCGCGTTCTCTTTCGCGTTCTCTTTCACGATCACGGTCTCGATCTCTTTCGCGATCTCTATCATATTCACGGTGATCCCTTCGAGGTTCAAACTCGCGGCCTGATCGAGAGAGATAAACATCCTCCTCACTCAATCCAGTAACTCCTCGCCCAGAGGGGGCATTCCCTCCACTTCCTGTACTCTGAATTGAAGCTCCGACGCCAAGACCAACATCATAGATAGCAGCTGGTATCTCACCACTATGTGCAGGTTGATTACTTTGTATTTCATCATCATCAAGGATACCAATACCACTCGCTGGCTGCACTTCATCAGTGCCAATAGGACTTGTCTCCGTGCTGTCAGCACGTGAAAGATGGCGTTCAGAACGGGAGGAACGGTGATGATGGTGAGATCGCGAAGAACGCATTTCGTAGCGATCACGAGACTCATAATCTCGCTCCCGATGTCTATAAAAATTGTTCAAAATATAACGGGACTAAGGTTAAGTAATCCAATACTCGTAAGTTATTACCATTATTAAAGCGAATAAATCATGGGGAAAGATATTGACCATCTTTATCTTTAATGCAATGCCCGTTATCTGAATAGGCACAAAAAATACAAAAAATTACCTTTTTTATAAAACTTAATTTAAAGGATGTTGATATAAATTTCTGCAAAGAAAAGCACCTAGTATCAATTGTGATGATAATAAAATAATGAAAATTAAAAAAAAAATAAAAGCAGGTTTTTTAAGAAGATTTTTTGGACAATAATTTTTTAGGCTAGATTGCATGCCTTAAAGATTTATGATAAAAAAGACCAAATCAAATTCAAAGTGTGAAAGATAGCAACAAAAAAATACAAAATTTGGTATAAATGACTTAAAAACCTATGGCTAAATTTATTCAGTACAATAAGGCAAATCAGGTTATTATTTTTTTATTCTAAGATGTAAATTAAAAATTTTTGCGTACCTGCGAGAGCGACCAGAATGATATTTATCACGACTATCTGATCGACTACGACGATACCTCTTTTCTCTATAATGCTCTCTGAAAATATAGA